TTACTCTTGATATTCTTCCCTACCTGATTGCTTTATTTTATATATATTGAAATAAGTGTTAGAACCTTTCTTAAAAAAATTATAAAATTCTAGATATGTCCTGAAGACCATTTTTTTTTACCTAATACATTATATGTCTTATATTTTCCATCAATAGGCCATCTGACAACTCACAATGAAAAGTATACAGTTGATAATCCTAAAGTAACCTTGATAATTAAGTTTATTTATCATATAATTACTGAGATATGCTAATAGATGTTGTTACACACTAACTGGGAAATTATGTTTCTACATTTCTTTTTTATTAATAAGATACCACAGCAAGCAGGAAGTATATACCCATATCTCAATACTATAACAATATTTCAGGGAAAAATTAAGATATCAATTTCACATACCCTACAGTTTTCAACAAAATGAAATTTAAGATTGTATCATACAATGCTATTAAAGACAGTGTATTCCATGAGTACTAACTGAATCCAAATAAGAAACTTTTCTGTAATTGTGCTTACAAACAATAATTTCCTATTGTCCTTCAAGAAAAATTTTTCTTAATTTTTTTTCTTTTTTTCAGGAAACTTTTATAAGCTTAATGTTAAAAGTCTATTTCCAAAATAAAATTTAAAAAAATAATAAAAAGTCTATTTCCATTGTCAAATAGCCGTGAATTCAAGTTCCAAATCTTCTGCTTATACTCTGTGATTTTGGGTAAGTTACTAACTCTCTCATTTCCAGTAGCTATTTAATAGTGAAAAGCAGTACATTGAAAATTGATAGAAGAATGTATATAAAATATAGCTCAGTGATACACAGCATATTCAGTACTCAATATTTATTATTAAAATTTCTAATCCAAGCTTTCTACCAGTGTTCTCTGCCTGGTTTCATATCACTAGTAGGAAAAAGAAAAGTATTTAAAGCTCTTAGATTTGAAAATTATAACCTGGGTTACTACTACAGCTGTGTACAACTTCATGCTCACAGTAAATTGTCCTATAACTTATTTCTATGTGCTCTGAATCGTTATTTAGAAACATGTTTTATCTCCTGTGTAGAACAGTAGGCTTCCGGAAGGCAGAGCCGGTATCACATTCAGCTTACTAATTCCCACAATATTTCACCCACAGTGCCAGCTTCAGAGTAGACCCTTGAGGTAGGTTTGTTGACCAAATGTGTGACCAACGCCCCATTTCCTATTCAGAAATACGTTTTGAAGAGAAGTGTCAACAATCTCTTTAAACATGGATGAGTGGGCCAATTAACACCTGAAATACATTTACTATTTACTGTGACTCAGTAATATCTGATGTTTGTCAATATCTAGAGTGTTGGATCTTATGACAAAACCAGAGGGGAAGATGTAATCCTGACCAGGAATGGGTCTTCTGCATCCTGATCTCCTGTCCAAGGCAGATACTCAAAAGTCTAACTCTTTGTGCCATACTTCCTCCTCATAAAAGTGGCTTTTTTCTGAGGGAGGGGAGGAAACAGTTCTTCATCTATATAACAAGTATGCTCATCACTTGCTCAAGTAAGACTGTCCCTAAGACAAGGCTAGGGAAGGAGCCAGTGCATTAAAAGTGCAAGGGAGAGGTCAGTCATGTTTTAAACATATTTGCAAAAATATGTCTAAATAAGTTGCCAACATTTAAAAATTGGAGAGTTCACACTAAGTCCCAGATCTATGACTTCTTTTGGAAAATCAGACCTGGCAGCTCAAGGTCCATATTCTAGCTGGCCAGTCATTAGCACTAAGCAGGCAGCAGCCTCTGGCCTTGGCTCCGTGCACTCAAGCTTAGCACTGGCCCCGCTTGGCCTCTCATCCATTTCCACTCCATATAACTCAAATGCCCAAAGTTCTGACCTCAGAACTATATTTCCATTGCCTTTTCCTTAGAGTCCAGGGATGTCATTCCGTTTCTTTAATTTTTATAAGACTGTGTTCATGGTCATGGTTGTTAAAGCACACCATTTGCCTTCTTTGATTTTACTACATGAGAAACTTTCTGGAGCTTCTTTGTTTTGAGCACCACTCCGACCCCCATCTCTATTCTTCTGCTCTTCTGTGTGTGGGTCTTGTAAGCATTGTTTGTTAGTTATAACGAGTCTGTCTGCACAGAAAGACCTGGGAGATATGACAGCCAGTGCCTATATTTAGTCTTCTATTCCAGTGAAGTCAATGAGAAGAGGAAAAAGTCATTGAACGATCAAGTCACAGCTGACTGAAGCTGTTTAATTGCCTGGGAGACACAAGAGACAAGGTCAACAGGATTCCTATCCGTAAGAGATGTCTGCAGAGGGGATAACGGTCAGGCCGGCGATGGGCTGCCTCAGAGAAAGAGAGAGCCAAGGTTCTAGTAAACAGATACTTAGCATTCTCCCTTGATCTTGGGGAAGCTCCACTGAGCAAAGGGTGACTTAAGGATGCAGACACAATGGTTTGTCTTCTAGTTTTTGAATTAGTTACCCTAGACAACCAATTGTCCAGGATACCTCAGCCACAAAGTAGATGTAAGGAGCATTGTCTATCATGTTGCTACGGAGTGCTTTCTCAAAGGAGGAAACGCTGTAATGCAGAGAGAGATATCATGGTTTAAACATGAAGTGTCATGAATTTGCTTCACAGGAATAATGGCACCATGTGGATACACCGCTAACATGTGACTGGATTCCTGCACCTGGACTTGGCTAAGCTTTTTCATGTCATTGCTTCTTAGCACTGCCCTGTTCTCTGCCTGGTGAACCTGTTCCTCCTTGATCTACAACACACTGCACTCTCCACTCCCATTCTCATGCTCTATTTACATCATAGCACATCTCCCCATTGTATATGTATATTTGGGAATTGCCTTTCTCTGCCCTCCATAATATAAGCTCCAGGAATGTAGCCTTTGATGTTTTGTTCACTGCTATATCCACAATGCCCAGGACACCCAGTAAATATTTGTTGAATGAATGAATATGCCCATTTTGTACATAATTGGGTGCATATTTTACACTATTTGGTACCTTACTTTCTTCACCTAAAACACAGTTTATCTCGGAGAGTATTCTGAATCAGCTAATACAGTGTGTCTGTATCATTTTTAACAGCTGCATAGTTTTCCCCTAGATAAATGTAGCATCTTTTATTTTACCAGTTCCTGTGATGAGCCTTTAAGGTGTTTCCAAATTTTTGCTATGAAATAATGCTGCAAAGGGCATCCTTGGCCATTTGTTTAGGGTGGCATTCATACCAATGTCTATATGACAATATCTAGAAGAGGAATTGCTGGGTCAAAAGGTATATACAGTTAAAAAAATTTTTGATAGCTATTACCAAATCACTTTCTAAAAAAGATGAACCTATTTACATATATGAGAGATCCAGTTTCCCCACAACTTGACCCAACACAAGCTTTCATTAAACTATTTTTATCTTTATGGCTCTGATTGATGAAAAAATGGTGCAGAATATCATTGTTGTTTTAATTACTATTTCTTTAACTATGAATGAAATGGAGCAATTTTTAAGATGATGTTAAAACATTTATTTTTCTCTTTCTGCCAGCAGCCTGCATAAAACATTTGCCACTTTTTCTTTTTGATAGATTGTGGTTTAGTTTTTGTAAAAGGTCCTGGCATATCAAAATAGTTGTTAGTTTTTTGTCTCTCATATGTTGCTAATATTTTCCAGATGTGTTATTTGTTTTCATGTAAATAATTTAATTGTTATTGGTCAGATTCATTAATCTTTTCTAGTATGGCTTCTGGGTTTTACATTTTCCTTAGCATGGGTTTCACCTTTTCCTTAGCATGGGTTTCCTTACTCTTAGCTTATTATTTTAAAAATCTTATAATTTCCTCTAGTTATTTTTTTAAATGTCATTCCCTACATTTCATATTAGATCCATCTTAACTTTATTTCGGGATAAGAGATGAGGTAACGATTGACTTGTATTTTGAGTGAACCAATCCATTGTGCCCAATCCATTTATTGAATAATTCTTCATTTACACTGAATATCCATGTTCGTTTGAGCCTGTTTCTGGACTCTGTCTTCTGTTCAATTAAACTAGACAATTCTTTTTCTATTTAAATTGAAGTATAGTGGATTTAAAATGTTGTGTCAGTTTCAGGTGCACAGCAGTGATTCAGATGTATAGAAATAGATATACACATATATATATATTCTTCTTTCAGATTCTTTTCCATTACAGGTTATTACAAGATATTGAATATAGTTCCTTGTGCTATACAGTAGGTCCTTGTTGTTCATCTATTTTATATATTGTTGTGTATATCTGTTAATCTCAAATTCCTAATTTATCCCTTTCCCCTTTTCCCCTTTGGTGACTCTAAATTTGTTTTCTATGTCTGTGAGTCTACTTCTGTTTTGTAAATAAGTTCATTTGTATTGTTTTTTTTAGATTCCACATACAAGTGTGAAATTAGACAATTCTTAAAACAGTATGTCCCTCTCTAACACATTTTGTAGGTTTAGTAGGAAATACATGATTTGGGTAATGCTGTTATTATTAAGATCATAGAATTAGATCAATATGAGCCCCAGGAATATATCTTAACACCATTTATTTGTGGAGTTCTCATTTATCAAAGCCCTTTCACAGGTATTCACCCTTTTGATGTTTATAACTGCATATCCATTTAATAGATTTTTTACACCAAATGTCTAAAAGTTGTGTCTAACCTGGTTTTCTCAACTAGGAAATGCAACTCAAGCTTTCTGATTCTAAGCCCTTTCTGATTCTAGTGCTCCTTCCACTACACCACAGGTAATACCAGCTCAGTAATTTAATAATAAAAACATTATAACATATATTATATATGTGTTTATCATAAACTATGTAATCTCATGTTTATAGACATAAACACCTCTTAAAATTCTTAAGAAGAATGAGGTAGGATGTACACAGAAAAAGGAAGGATGTATACAGAGAAAAAGGTAAACTTAAATGTAGATCTGCATTTACACACTTTTAAAGATGATAGATCTATCCAGAGGCATTTCAGGGAAACACAACAAACAAGCAACATTAGATAAAGATGCTTTGCACTGACCACTGAAATAGAACCACCCCTGGCACATTCAGTGATAAGAACATGGCAGCCAAATACCCTGGAGAACATATACATAATATAAATGTATAAATGTATATATAAGTAATTAACCACATTTAGGCTACCAGAGGAAACTGGCAAACGTTCACTAACTGAAGTGGAGCTTGGCCAAGACATTTATCTCTACTTCTCCTTGTTCTGATTCCAAATCAGAGAGAGTACGGGCCTTGTGTTTTCTGGTAAAGTACAGACCTATGCAACAATCAGCATGTTTTCTCGTACCAGAGCCAGTAACCCCCAACAATGAGTATTTGTGAGTCCTAACTGGTTTCTCTAGGTGGGTGGTGGAATAATAGCCTACTACAGTCATTCATTCTCTTCCTCAAAAGAACCATGGGTCTGGAGAAGTTCTGTTCAGTCACAGGGCAATATCCCATTTTAAATACAGTATCTAGTGATGTTTGTCCATGAATAAAGTCAATAAAAATGTTTGAATCCCACTAGGCAAAAAGAGCTTAGTTATATGGCTGTTGGGTGACAGTGTTGGTTGATCTTTGTGCTCTCAAAGGCTCTGATGTTCAATTACTGACCAATCATTAACCACAAAGTATTTAAGAGTAATAATGTGAAGAAAGAAAGAACAATGACTATATCTTTAACATTAATCATATTCAGCCTTAAATTAACTTTTTAGGTCCTTTCCAAACAATTTACAAGGGTGCAGATATAGGTATCTTAGGATAGCACAGGTATTTCCTTCCAGTTTGTAGGCACAGGGAAAAAGAAGAAACCTATGTTTGTAAACATATATAAATCTAGGGGGATTCTTTTCAAACTTTAAATTTGAATTAAAGTTAAATCTTTTTAAACTTGAAATTAAAAGCAGGAAATACAATTTAGGGCTAACTTTATATATATATATATATTTTATCTACTAAGGAAAACAAAGCGAAACTTTGAATTCTTACACAAATCTTTAGCAAATTTCTTGAATCTCCTCCCTCTTCCCACCACCCACAAGATGAAGGACTGTGGACTTCCTGCTGGAGCAAGTAATTGCTCAGCCACTTTGGAATCCGTGGAACCCTTTGCAGTTTAGTTGGGACAGGCACATACAATTGTAAAATCTTCCTTTTTTCACATAGAACTCAGAACCTGAAGTCAGCCTCCGAGACCTTCTGCTTGATATGCCCTCACATCCCAGGTTACATACTCCCCAAACTGGCACAGATTTTATCTCAGAAAACTAGTTGTTGCTTCCATTGACGCCTTCCTATTTTTATATTAGACTCAAAACATCCCATTTTAGGTCTTTAGAGGAATATTTTCACTGTAGGGTTGGCACAATTGCCAAGCAGTGTTTAAAAGAATTTAGGTCACAGCTTTTAGGAGTCAAAAAGGAAGGGAAAGGGGATCAATTAGATGTCAGAATTGGAGATGGAATAGATCATTAAAACTCTGTTCTTCCAAGATAAAGCGAAGAAGTAGGAGAGTCTAAAATGTAGCACTAAGTGGCGGCATCAACTCTGGGCCGCATTCCCCCAAGTCACTAGCTCAGTCATTTCATAAATATGAGCTGAGCTCCCACTATGGGCCGGGCCCGAGCTAAAGCTCCTCATGCAAAGGGACCAGAGTTACACTCACAGCCCCTAAGGTTTGCGCTCATGGAATCTATCAGTCCTTTCAATGGCAATTGTTTGCCATGCTAGACGAACTCTTTAGGACGTATGGAAGGTGATTATCCTGTAATTGACTAAAAGTGATCTTTAAAGTCAATATATGGATCACAGGATAAACTCGTCTCATATTTCTGCCAAAAATGTTTGCTTGGAGTAAATCTTTACTTCTTTTCTGTCGCAAGGGGAAAACTCCTCCTACCACTCCCAAGAAGCAAGGCAAAAAAAATTCAGATGGTTTTTTATTTAATAAGAGTGTTTAGCGCCGTCAGGATAGAAGTCTGGTCGGCTCCAGCAGCCTCCCGGAGCCTAAGCGCTGGGTGCGCCGCCGCTCCGCTCTCCCCGCCCCGCCCCTGTCCCGCGGAAGGACTAAAGCCACGCCCCCACTGGCCTCTGGGCGGGGACCCAGGCGGCGCCCCGCCAGCCTCTGCGCAGAGCGACTGCCGGTCCCGTAGTGCAGCTGTCTCCGAGCCCAAGAAGTCACACCCGTCTCGGGCCGGGAGCTGAAGCCCCAGCCCACGTGGCGGCGGCTGATGAGCCCCGGCGCTGCGGGAAGCGCCCGGTGCGGTTCTTCTCTTCGCGCGGGCTGAGGAGTGGAGAGATGCCCCCCGCCCCAGCCTCTCTAAGGGTCTAGTTCCTCCGCCTTCCCTCCCAGCACGCCGCTTCAGTAGGGTTTGTTATCGCTTTGGGGATTTAAACAATGGCTTAAAAGGAGACGCGAAATTTAGTCCAAAACCTTGAAAGGAACCCGGCCGGTCCGCTCCCGGCTGTTTGCATGTGCCCCGTCTCTGTTCCTTTCTTCTTCCCTTTCTCTCCACCGTCCCTTTCCTTCCCTTTTCTCCTTTTTCCTCGCGGCGCCCTCCTCCCAAATTTCCACGTTCGGCGAGTGTTGTGAAATTGAGGAAATTTAAATGTTGGATTAGGGTCCCTTCTTAGGCAATGGTCTGGGGCGGGGCCCTAGCTTTGGGTTCGAGTGGTCGTGGGCCTTAATAAAATTTCCAAAAGTAAGGCATTCTGTATGATCTTTCTTAAAGTGACGTCCAAGATTGAGCGCCAAGCCCTCCGAGACCTGGATCCTCCCTTGGCCACGTGCGTTAGTCCACCAAACTGCAGGCTTGGCCCAGAGTGCCGCGCATGTCCCAGCTGACTCGGGAGAAGGCGCTTCGGCCCTTAAAGACAAGTCTCCTTCCTGGGCCCTCCAAACCCCTAGATTTACGTCGCAGATTCCGAAGTAGAACACTAACAACTGAAGGGGAAGCTAGGGTGCTCCATCCTTGAATACATGGCTGTGAAAGCGGCTCATTTGGTTTGGGGTGGCGGGGCGCTCGTTGTCCTCCACATGTGCTGCATTTCTCCATCAGGGGGCGCCCACACCCACCAAGAAACTCCCTATTCCTAGACATCTGGGTTCTGCAAGCTCGAAGCACAGCAAGTGGGGGTAGATCCGAAGGAGCGCACCGCCTCCCTCGCTCCTCCCTCCTTGCCAGCCTCCGCGGACAGAGGAGGCAGGGATTTCACACTAGCCATTCATTTGTCAGCCGTGGGGGGAGGGGACGCAGGAGCGAAAGAGACCAAGCAGAGGCTGGAAGAGGGGAAGAGAGGCAGAGAAGATGGAGACAGAGAGGGAGAGACAAAGATGAGGAACGGACACAGATAGCGAGACTGTCCTTCCGCCTGTGGGTGTGCGCACCGCGGGACAGCTCTCCAGGCGCCGCGTAGATTTCTCCTCCCTCCCGTAGCATCTCCTGGGGACTTGCAGGACTTGCTACGGCGCAGCTGGATCCGAGAGCAAATAGTTTAAGCTATGACACTAGTTTTCTACCTCGCTCTCCGCTGCCTAACCCACTGACTGCTCCACGCCCAGTGACACAGACAGTGAGCCTGGACAACCCTGATGCCCCCCAGCCCTCACGCACCAGGGATGTAGACCGGCGGCGCCCACGCCTCCGCAGGGAGGTGGGGCGCTCCAGCCGAGGGCGTCCCCCGGAGCTGCCGCCACTCGCTCTCCGCCGCCGCAAGACCCGCCAGTAAAGTTGCTCAACTAGGGCCGCGGGCTGGGAGGGGGTGGGGAAATGGAAGGAAAAGGAGGACTGCAGTAGTCCGGGCGAGAGGGCTGGTCCTAGAGGCCCCAGATTCGGGTCCCCGCGCCACCTTTGTCTGAAGAGCGATCTGAGCGCTGGTTTGCTCGTTGAGACCAGAGCAAAAGCCTCCACTTCGCTCCTCAGGGTGAGATAAAATTCTTGCACATCCCTACTGGTTCGGGGCAAGCTTTTCCCGCCCTGGCGCCTCGCAGACCTCCGCGTCGCTCCAAACACCCCACCCCCATCCCCTGCTCCCTCCCGGCCGGCTCCGGCGCACCGCGCGTAGGACAAAAGAACCCAGGGGCACCGGAGAGAGCCTTGACAGCCCCCGCGTCGCCGAAGAGACGCGAACCGGGGGCCCTGCACCTCCCCGACCGGACCTCCTCCCAGACCGCCCGCGGGCTGAGGGGGTCATGTCCGCGCAGGTCCCGGATCGCCCTGTCAGAAGCTGCTTGGGAACAGCTTTCCAGGAACGCCGGGCACTGACCACACATCAGGGGCCGGGAGCCAGGTGGCCTGCACCAAGGCGGCTTCGGGGACTTGTATGTGGGCAAGTCTCGGTGGTCCCCATTCAAACTTTTGCCTCGAGCAGGTTAAAAAAAAAAAAAAAAAAGGATCAAGGTGCCAAGGGTCCCTCCTCTCCAGCTCAAGACCCCACGACGTTTCTAGGGGTTCTCTGCATTCCCTTCCCTCCCTTCCCCCAATTCCATTTGTCCTTCTACTCCCACCCCACCCCGGGCTTCTTTTGTCTGGATCTTTTTCAGCACCAAGGTCCCCCTGTATTCTTCTCTCCAAACATCCTTCTGAAAGTTACCTGCATTTTTTACAGTGCACATAATTTCTCAGAGCTAGTTCTCTTAGCTTTAATTAAAGCCTTCTACCAATTACAACGTACTTTTTTTTTCTAAACTCGATTTTTTTTTCCTATAAGTTTTTCTTTTTCTTTTCTTTTCTTTTTTTTTTTTAAGGGGGAACAAAAGAAACGTGATTACCTTGAAAGGCGGCTTTACTGCAGTTGAGGGGAAAAATTCACCTCAGCGCTGCGCGAATGGGCTCGGCGTTGCCGGGGCGGGTCACATAGGAAGCGCGGTGGCCTGGGGAAGGGTGCGGGATGGTGCTGGAGGATGCGGGAGGATGCGGGGCTGACCGCAGAGCCCGGTCCCAGCGCCTGTCCACAGCACCTAATGTTCGCGGCTGTTGCGCCCGCCCGCCTGGAGTTCCTCCCCAGAAAGGCTCGGGGCAGCTCGCCTGCAAGTTCAAATGCGGGTTGTGACACCCATCATCATTATATCACAGTACCGTCAGCACCGAGGAGGAGACTCAGCGAGGAGGAGGAGGAGGAAGAGGAGGAGGGTTCATTCACAGGCTCCTCGAGCGCTCCGCAGCTTCAGCCACTCCTAAAAGCCCAGGCTTGGAAAGCAGGCAAAGGAGCGGAAAGGCAGCTCCCCGCGCTTGCGGTAGGGACCGCCTGCCTCCCTCCCCAGGCACTCCCACCTCTCGGCGTTTCTTCCTGACAAGAAGTACCAATCGGCTTGGGGACAGCAGCGCTCCCCATTCAGCGACTCACTAAGTAACATCGCGCTGTGCGCAAGGAAACCACTGCCTTCCCACCCCTCCCCACCCCCGCTTCCCCGCCCCCCGTGCTGCTAGTTCTGGGTTAGGGGAAAGGAGCCCCCAGGCTCCTGCGGGGCAGGCCAGCACTAGACAATTGAGTACCGTCAGTGCTTCTTGGGAGCAAATGAAACTCTGTAAAATCAGCAAAGAACTTGGTTACAGTGTGTTTACGCGGCCACCGAGCCTGCCTGTCCCATCTGAAGGAAGTGTCAGGCTCCTGGCTTCTGCCAACCTGAAAGAGACACTGAGAAAACGAGATCCTTCTGAGACCTAGAGGGAAAGCGTAAGAATTCCCCATTGCTTTCCCCGGGAGCTGCCCGATGGGGAACCCAACGTCATTGCGCAATCTACAAAGACCCCGGTAATAATGGGCCGGACAGGAAATTCCCCGAAGCAAATCCCTTGTCGGATTCAAACAGATCCTCTTCCCCTGCCAGAAACCTACAGAAGTCTAGATTCAGCTTTCTTCTTTCTTTCTTTCCCTCAGTGTTTCAAAGTGCCCCTCATAGTAGAACATTTAGCAATTTTTCTGAGTAACAGAGTTTCCTTGGATATATCAATCACCATCCTTGTGGTCAGGAAACGGGACCATAATCTTTCATGAGTTTATGTGATTTTTATATCTAGCCAGGTCCACCCGACTATGTAAACAGCATCAACACATGGAAGAGTCCCCTGCATTGTGTTACAAAAGACTTCCAATAGGACCTGACAGAGCAAGGGTCAACCAGTTGACACAAAGGATTTCTGCCCCTTAGAAAAGAGGGACTTTGTATCTTACTTTTCTTTGAAGTCAAGTATTGAGTTTATACAATGGAAACAAAATAAATCCAAGGTGCATATCAGTTTAACACTGGGGATACTGGAGTGGAGAGCAAACTTTTCTTTCTACACAAATATGGAAGTATTCCAAATATGGAAAATGAGATAATTCTTCTCTCTGAAGTCCCTACTTATAAAATTATATCAAACACAACACCTCACAGAGTAATGATTAAAGGAGAAAGTCCATTTTCACTCTGAATTTCTTTGAGTAGGTTGGCTTAAGCTCATACTTTAAAACGTAGCAGCCTAGACTCTTGTAATGTTTCTTTTGAAAGTTGTATGTGTTCTGCATGATCATAGGTTTTAATTAATAAACAGGTAGAAGATTTTGTTAGGAGAACTTCAGTCCTCAAAATGTGCATTATTTATTTATCTGTCTATCTATCTATCTACCTATCTATGAGCTCACTACAGTGAACGATGTAACTATTAATTCTAGGATTTGGAAATCAACTTATTTGTTTTCAAAATGATTTATTTATTCTTAGTACAGTTATTATACGACCATTTCCAACATTGAGATTCTAGTCCATTAAAATATATTTAGAATAACAGAGTCATAGAACAGAATTGGAGTTCAACCTTTACGTTTAACAGATAAGCAAATTAAGGCCCAGAAAGTGACTTTCCTAAAATTACACGATTAATAGCAAAGCTGTTACCAGCACACAACTCTTGACTCCTGGTCCAGTGGTCTTTTCAGTGCTCCTCATAGCATCTTTATGACCGAGATGAGCTCACTCAGAAAGGGAGAAAAATGAAATAAAAGAGTCTTTATTGAAGTTTATACCCAGGCATTAGGTTAGATCTTTCTCTGAAACACTTCAAGATATATATTATTATTCTCATTTTTAAATTTGAGTGAACCTAGTTGAGTTCCAAAGAATTTAAGTGTCCTGCCCACAGCCGCTTTTTAAGTGGTAGATCTCCCAATCTGAAAAGCTTATTATCTCCCCATTACCCTGTTCTCCCTTCATAATACAGTTAAGTAAAACTTTTCTACAAAGGAGACCTAGAGCAGAAACAAGAAACTAATAGCAGATTAATATCCATTTTCAAGCAAATGTTAATGGTTAACATTCACTACAGATAATACCATCTGTACATAATGGAACATGATTAAAATTATGGGTCAGCTACTCCTTACATACTGAGATATTTTCCTTTATCTTGCCAAATGTGTTTCTCCAGCCCTCCAACGTTTTGGTTCCTTGTAGTGTCCATAGACATTACAACTCTTGATTGAGTAGTTCTACAGGGCAAAGGCACTTTCTCAGGCAGACATAACTAGTCAGAACTTGGACAAAGTTGAAAAGCTTTAAACTGCATGCCTTTTCTTTACCTTGGCTTGTAACATTATTATTTAGAAAATTAAATGCTTCTTCAAGCTGTCAAATAACCAGAATGAAATGACACCCCTGAATATCTGCTTTCTTTCTCTAAGGCAGATTTCGCCCTCTAGCTATGTATGATAGAGAAAGAACAAAAAGGAAAGCATACCTGGTACATCCAGGATAGAGTCTACAGCTGTATTATTTCTATGTAACTCTCCTTGAGGACATCTTTATCTTTCTTTCTTTGTTTTTTCTTTCCTTCCCTTCCCTTTCTTTCCTTTCCTTTCCTTTCCTCTCTTTTCCTTTTCCTTCCTTCCTTCCTTCCTTTCTCTCTTTCTTTAATCAAGAAAAAGAGAATGAGAGAAAGTTATTTCTTATTCTCCTATGTCTGAAAAGTCATCAAAAGTTCTTGAATGAGAAAATATATATTTGCAGCTTTTATAACTAAAACTATATTTGCCCAATACACTTGTCTGAATTAAACAGTAATTAAAATATCATTCTGTGCATCCCCCTTTAAATCATGTCCTTGTACTGGGGATGTTCTGTATGTAAACTCCATGGTCCCAGGTGTAGATAAAACAAGCTCTTCATTCCCAGCGCTGGTGTCTACAAGAAACCAGAAGCCAGAAGCTACGTGCCTTGCTTCATTGCCTTGATCTTGTCTTTAGGAACTTGGCTGAGGTCAGAGGGCAGCCAGCCAAAGACTTAGAGAAGAAAGGTGTAGATGTCAGGTGGGTCTCCAGAGAATTTCATTATCTTTATCTAAACCTCCTTCTGAGGTCCTTTAGGATCACATTTCAGTCTTCTCCTTTTTTATTGATCAGGTGAAGTGTTCTTAGACATCGTATTATCTGTTGCTGCACTAGGAATGACAAGGTTCCAGTCCCATCCACACTCTGAAAACAGAGTTCACATTTCAAGTCCCTGATCTGGCTGATCCTAGGCACAATGAAGCAAATATCCTCTCTGGGTGGTGAAAGAATGTGAAAGATTAAAAATGCACCTTTAATGAATTCCAAAGACCCTAGAAAAAGGAAGTCAACCCTCTAAGATTGCTTTAAAAAAAAAATTACAGATTAGGGAAAGACATTTTACCCAACACTTCAAATCTTCTTTGGTTTCTAGGAAATGCAGAACTATTCAATAATATAAGGTCTTTGTTGCTTTCTTTAAAAAATAAAAGAAACCCTACAAAAGGCAAAGTGATGGTGACAAGCTCATTACACTCTAGCCTGAAGTATATAAATTACTCAGAGAAATTAAATACAGACAAATATCCTTAGAAAGCCATGAAGAATGTAATTTTTTCCCCCAGAAATCAGATACCAAGCCTTTGCTCCCCAACCTCCAAATCAAAATGTTACAGTAAAATGTTTCTTTCAATAAAAGAGTTCTTTTTTTTTTGCTGTAAATGTCCTGTTCATGGTTGGGTAGATTTCTCCAGAACTTAACTGGAAGACCATCTACATCATGACAGAACTATGCAAGCCAAAGCCAAGTTCCAACATGGAGTGATGGGAAAGGCTGGGAGGAGATGACTTCATTGGGGAGAAGGGAGGCTCTCTGAGTAGGTCCACGCTGCAGCCAAATGGCTCAGCACATCTGCACTTGCCCTGGGGAGGCTTCCTGGAGGAGAGTATCAAAAATGCCATCGTTTTTGTAAAGGGAAAGATCAAGGCACAAATAAAGCAGTCCAACTAAATTGAATCAAAGATAGCAACCTTACTCCTCTCCTTAGTCACTTTCTCAATCTCTTTTCTTTTCCTCCCCACAGACTGACAAGTATAAGGTGTTTTTTTTTTAATTTATTTTTATAAAGCATCTGTCTGACTGAACCAAGGCAAACCGAAGAATCTTGTTTCTGAACACAAGGAAGCGGTAGAGATCTTAGAATCTATGCGGCAGGGCAGAGAGCAATGCAGAGGTTTTCTTAAGAGGCAAAACTTTAGCAGTTGCTGTGTATTTTCAGTGAGTACCAGGCTCCATGTATTTAATTAGAGGACAATGGGACCCAGAGGACAAGAAGCTTAATGAAAGCACCATG